TAAGCGACCTACCCTAAACCTAAAGCCCTAAACCCCATACCCTTGGCCTTGTACCCCATGCCCAAACACCAATGCCCTGGAACCCTTAAGCCCCAAAGCCCTATACCCCAAACCCTACACTGGGCAGCAGTAACAATACTCAGCAATAGTGCAACTGTCACTCATTAGTGGTCACATTATCATTGTAATAGTGATAAAGCAGTACTCGCAATAGCTGTATCTCAAGAACAAGCAAGCCGCATTAGAAAAAACACCAGTAAAAGCATGTCAGTCAGAAAATAGTAACAAAAGCATCAGTACGAAGAACAATTATAACAACAGTACTAGTGATAATAGTGATTGCTGAGGGCAGTAATCATGACCGTAATCATCTGTCAGGCAGCCAGCGAGGCGCCACCCTCGTACGTGCAGTTCTGAGCCGGAAAGTAGCCGCAAGGACCTACTCGAACTGTGAAATGAAGGAGCTAGGGTTAAAGTATGGCTGAGGGTCTAATTAGGGCCTAAAGGGTTTAGCTTTTAAAGCGTATAGGGCTTGGGGTGTAGAGTTTAGGATCTTAGGTTGGGCTCTTGCGTTGTGTCTGGTGCGCCCGAGATGCACCTTAGCATCCTTCATGTCTATAGCTGTCAGAGATCCCACCTGAGTCAATCACCAATCCAAGCTGAGCATTGTGGTCATCATGTGACTCACAAATAGAAGCCCCTTCTCAATCAGAAGTATTCTTAGGATGTTAGATATGGAGATGAGCGAGACATCCTATGGTGTTTCTGTAGGTATTGGTCAATCACATATTCATGCGCGACTGTTGCCGACCAGACTCGGCAAAAGACAAAAGGGAGGTGGAGTTCTCTTCAGGTTTATTATATAACCCCTATGTATACCCTAAAATCCCTGTGTTTCTACTTTCTTTTCCATTATCCCCATATACCCCCGATATATACACTATTCTAATACAGTAGTTTCCATCTTCTTTTCCATTATCCCCTGTCTGGGAGATAGATAGACCCCCGTCTGGGCTACCACAGTTTATCGTTTCGGAGCGTCAAGGGGTTCTGGCCATACATCCTAAACCTCAAACTCAATCCACATATCCAGGCGTATTGCTGCGAAGCCAAATAGGCAGCCCTTTTTCCCTTTTCATTTTGTGGTCTCCTTATAAAAGCCGAACATGAGGAAAATGGTACCCTTATTATTGAGGGCTTTCTGGGGAACCTTGAGAAATGGGAATCTTCAGGGAGTAAGGGAACAGATTATATGGGATGATGTAGGGATTATTTTCGCTTAATATCTATGAACCCCCAGTAAGTATGTCATTTGAGAGATGATTGCTATGCCACGTGCCTTGTTCTTGTGGCTAGTATCATCTTGGCTTGGTGGTATCATTGTTGTTGCTTCATCGTGTTCAGCTCACTTGTTCTTTCCGGTGGTCAGCAGGGAACAGGGGAACTCTAAACCGTAATCCCTAAACCCTAAACCCTGCATGGTCCCTATATTAACACTATAAATTCTATTCCTGTATCCCCTACTAACCCCAGTAAGTTTTCCTCTTGATTGCATCGAGGATGGTTGGAACCATCCATGTCGTCTAATCGAGTTGACTGGGCTTGGGAAGTGGACCCGTTTGCACCCATTGGGGTAATATAAGCGGTATATTAGGGTTTATTGGGGTTATGTTGGGGTTATATTGGGTTAGCGTTGGGCTTATAAAAAGTAACATTGGGGTTATATTATGGTAGTATTGGGGTTATATTGGCCGCTGCCTATGGAAGGATTTTCAACCACTGACCTCTCACGACTTTGCGAGGCTGCTCTGTGGTGTTGTTGCTTCAAGTAGTACTTGCTTTGTCCATGGCCTCTTTGGCCCAGGCAAATGTGGTCTCTTCACCATGCCTTGTGCTGAATGTTGTTTGCTCAAAGATCGTCGACAGGCATGGCACAGACACAATTGCTTTAGGTTTCTGCGCGCTGCATACCCAAACCCTTGAGCCCCTAAACCCTAAACTTGAATGCTCAATATTCAAGCTTCTGTGAGTCAAGTCCGTGCCAAAATTATGCCGACACTTCATGTCTGCATGGGAACTTGGATCAAGGGGACTTAGTAAATACGTATACATAGAACCCTTTAAGCCATAGTTTGCCTCAATTATCCCCACTATGAACCTTTTTACTAGGTCTCCTGACCCTTCCAAGTAGAGACTCCCTCTTCTTGCCTTAGATTCTAGCCTTAGATGCACCAACGAAGCCATGTGGTTCACAGTGCAGCCAACCTGCTCAGTCCAACTTTCACAGTGCTGCCACAGCTGCACTCTGCCCATACCCACCAGTACTCCCAGAGCCTCCAGAGCTCTCACCATTCACACTATCCCAGTTCTGAAGACAGACGCCACACTTCGAACCGTGAGACCCCCAGAACCACAAAATGGAAAGCAGTGTGGATGCTCAGGCTGTCCCGCTCAGTGTGGAGACTAAGGAGATACTTGCACGTCCCAGTATTCGCTTGTAGCCCACGACATTTTTCCAAGATCAATAGCACGTTTGAAGTCTTTGGCCTGGCATTTTCTCCCAAGCCCCTCGCACACCAGCGATGGTGGCCGCGTCGAACCTCCCTGCGCCGCTGACCGACGGAGAGCTCGTCCAGAGCGCTTCGCTCAGCGAAGCCCGGCCGAAAATTAGGGGTCTTTTTGTAGGAGCTGCTATGATAGGATTGTAGTCATTGTGGGTCTATACTGGGGCCGACGTTTTTTGCACTCTTCCTTTTTGTGGCTGGAGGAGACGTTGCACCACCTTTTATACTCTGTACAGTCTGCACCTTGGGAAGTGCAGTAGGACGGGCGCCCTAAGTTGTGCAAGATTCCATCCACTATCTGTACCGTTGACATTGCTGACCCCTTGTAGATCCCTGGGGCAGCACTTGGGGGATGCATTGGAGGGAGCCTTTTTCAAGGGTAGTAGAGACTTGAGGCTTTAGGGTTTAGGGTTTTGACATAGAATCCCAAAGCAGGAGCAACACAGCATCGTGCAGGTTGACTAAGCCTCTGCAGGGGATCTCTAGGCCCTTTCCGGGTACATACCAGCCAGCTATATCGGGGGTTCTGAAAACTAAGGGCCCAACTTCGGGGAGACTATACGACAAGAACTATAGCTATATTAGGGCCCCCTACTTACAAAGTGCCCGTATGACACTTGAGGTGAGTTTTTGAAATGCGGGGTTCCGATGATGAAGTCCGCCCCCAGAGAACTCACGACTCTAAATAAGAAGGGGTCTTATAAAAGGGGTCGCCCAATGAGTTTAGGAAGCGTGGTTTGGTTGGTGGGTCCTGGAGGAATTGAAGAGGCAGGACTTTTGTGGGCGCTTGGCATTTTTCCGCTTCTGCTTCTTTATTATCGCGCACGGGACCAAAATTCGCTCTATTCCGTAGCCTGCTTGTTGTCAAGTTCACTCTTTTTCCGAACCACTTCAGTTGCTACCCAACATTAGTTGAGCCTAGGAGGGTAAGGTAATCTTCCTCATCTCGCCGCTGGCTAGCAAGGAATGAATGCATGGATCCCTATCTCATCACCAATCACAGCTAAGCTTCCGTTTTCGTTTCCATTCCTCCACGCCCTGCTAACCACAGGCAAGTCATAGATTCCGATTGTCCCCTCCTTCCATCCAGAGTAGAGACTGGGAACCTCATGGTCCCATATGTAACTTTAGAAGCACTTAGAGTCGACTGCAATTGTAGGCTCCTTTTTTGCAGATGGTATTTGAAAACAATAACATGATCTGACGTTGTTCATCCCTGAGAAGGAGTACATTCCTGTATCTACAATTCCTAAATCCGAGCCCTAACTTTTTAGACACCAACAAAAAAAGTGATATACGCCAATGTAGGCGCCCTGAAACGGGACTCAAGTGAGAGTTAGAAAAACTTACGTTTACGCATCCTGACTAGTGACCCCCTAATCTTTTGTCGCCCCCGAGTGTCCCTGTGGTCCCTGAAAATGCCCCCCATTGTTGGCCAATCCAAGTCAGTAGTTTCCCATTTTGGGCAGTATAGTTCTTAGAGGAGAGTAACTTTACAACATCCTTTTGTTTTCATTATTGTACCCTAAGGCCTAAAAGCCTAAACCCTGTAATCCTTAAACCCTAAACCCTAAAGCCTGAATCCCTAAACTCTACTTGGTTCAGCCAACACACGAGCCGCGAGGATGTGCCAGATTCGGAAGCCCTTGCCGCATGGCTTCTGGACAAAGGCAGAGTCGACATATGAGCTGTAGTCTATTAGTAAACCCAATAATGCAGAATCAAATGGAAAAGAAATGGAAACTGGGATTATAGGGTAGTTTATAGGGATTAGGATTTAATATGAGCTGTAGTCTAAACTTGTCAGAGGGGGTTATATAGCGGATTATATAAGGTAGAGGGTTTAGGGTCTGAACTCCTTCAAGGGGGTCATATACGGGGATTATAAAGCGCACTACCCTAGGGGTTCTTACCTGGGATGCTAGCAGCTTAGACTATGGCTCATATGAGGGTTTCTCAACCCTTTTCAAGGACCCGATGATATATGGGGAGTCCGTTGGGGGTCCCCATTAGGGATTCTATAGCAGTCTCGTCTCCTAACAAAAAGGTGTCCCCTGTTGTGATCCTTGTAATAAGGGATGCGAGATTCAAAAGTAGAAAGGGGAGCCCAATTCTGAGCAAAAAAATGCCATATGAGCTATAGTCTAAACTCCTTAAATGGGGTTATTTAAGGGATTATATAGGTGACTACCCTGGGGTTATTAAGGGGGATTCTAGGAGTTTAGACTATGGCTCATATTGCTGGTCCCCAAAGCTGGGCAATCGCGTGATTCAGGGTGCTGATGCTGATAGTGGCCATTTCTTCCGGTTTAGGGTTTAGGGCTTTTAGGGCTTAGGGTTTAGGGTTTTTAGGCTTAGGGTTTACAGTTTACAGGATTTCTTCCATGAGCCAGCAATATTGACCCCGTCCCGAGTCCAAACCGGCTCGACTGGCAGGTTTGGATACAACGGATTGGGGGAAGGACAACACCAAGGGTGTCAGCAAGTTCTGGAAGGACTGCCGATTCATTAGCTATGATAGTATTAAATGTAATAACAGTAACATAGTACTAATACGAATAATAGTAACAGTAGTACTATCTGAGGATCCCCAAATTAACTATGTATTCATGCCCCTCTTGTATGTAGTGATCTGTCAGTAGGTGGCTCTGCTGAGTGACTCTTAGGAATTACCAGGCTGTAAGTAGAGATATTTGTTCTGTACAGGGAGCATACGTGAATCATATGAATCATATAGGGCTGTAGATGGATGCCTTGTTCTGCAACGGTATGCGTTCCTTATCCTAAACCCTGAAAACGCTTCGTTACCCAATCGGTCTGGCATTTGTGTTGTTCCGGTCGATGCTTGCTTGCATGTGGCCCCGCGAAGCAATGCGACCGGGAGTCGGCAGCAATCACCTCGTGTGATTATTGGTATTAGTTAGGTGGACCCCCCA